ATCTGTCCATTTCTTCTGTGTTTTCCATTTTATTAGAGTATAGGTTCTCAAAATAGGTATTGATGATCTGGATTTCTGCTGAAACTGTTGTGACTTCACCTTTTTCATTCCTAATTGCATGAATTTGACCCTTTTCTATCCTTTTTTGATAAGGTTGGCTAAGGGTTTATCAATTTTATTTATTCTTTCAAAAACCAATGCTTCAATTCATTGATTTTATTGTATCATTCTCTTAGTCTCTATTGCATTGAGTTCTTCTCTGATCTTTATAATTTCCTCCCTTCTATGAGCTTTGAGTTTGTCTTACTCTTGATTTTCTGAAGGCTTAACATTCAGCTTTAGGTTGTTTATTTGAGCTGTCTCTGTTCTACTAGTGTGGGCATTCAAAGTTATGAATTTCCCATGTAGAACTGCTTTCATTGTGTCCCGTAGACTGCATTATGTTGTTTTGGCATTATCATTTAGTTATAAAAACTGCCTAATTTCTTCTTTAACTTCCTCTGTGACCCATTGGTTGTTCAGGATAGTGTTGTTCAATTTCCTTGTGTTTGTGAAGTCCTTGCAGTTTCTTACGCTACTGATCTCCAGTTTTTTGCACTATGGCTTTTTAATATACATGGGATAACTTCAGTTCCTTTACACTTACTTAAACATGTTCTGTGAGCTAGTATGTGGCCTATTTTGGAGAATTACTTATTTGAAGCTGAAAAGAATGTATATTCTGATTTTGTGGGGTGTAACACTCTGTAGATATTAAATGCATTTGCTGAAAAGCTTCATTCAATTGTATTATTTCATTGTTGATTGTTTGTGTAGATGATCTGTCTATTTGTGACAGTGGGGTATTGAGGTCCCCCACTACAATTGTATTTGTGGTTATTTAGTTTTTTATGGTCCTTAATATTTGTTTTGTATCATTGGAGGCATTAGTATTTGGTGCATATATATTTATGATTGTCATCTCTTCCTCTGGGATTGTTCCCTTACAAAGATATAACGGTTTTCTTTGTCTCTCTTAATTAGTTTTGGTTTGAAATTTACTTTGTCAGTGGCACCATGCCTGCCTTGCAAGTGCGAGGTCCTGAGTTCAATCCCCAATATCAAAAAAACACTTATGGTCAGTGTTATTGAAATGAGATATTTAAAAAAAATTATCATTTACAAATAAAGCCTTTAAAAAATCTCCTATACAAAATTGAGGAAACTTTGCTGCTCCATAAAAAGAAATAAGGGAAAAGAAAAAAATATGAGAAAATGAAAAAAAAATGGAAATGAAGTGTTTGTATAAGGGAAGGGAGGAGGGGGTGAAGGGAGGGCAGGGACAAGGGGAAAAAATGAGAACCAAGACCTGTCATGTAAAGGTTCGAGATCCCAATAAAGAATGTAACTGTACTGTATACCTAAAATGTACCAAAAAACTCAATAAAAAGAAAAAACTAAATTATTCACATTTACCTGTACACAAAAATCCTGTATCTTTGAAGCATTTAATTTATTGCTTCCAAATCCTTAGTAGATAAATTAGTGAGATATCAGCAACTCAGTGGGAGAAATTTGGTACTGTCATATGCTGTTTCTCATGTGAACAGCATCTTTAAAATGCAGTAAGCATGGAAAATAGAGAAAAGTATATTGCATAAAATGAAAAGTCATTGTAATTTGTATTGTTTAGAAGCAGTAACTGCTAACATTTTATTATACTTTGCCCCAAGAGTTTGGTGTCCACTTGTACTTTTTTTTTTTTTTCCAGTACCGGAGATTGAACTCAGTTCCTTGTGCTTTCGAGGCAGCCACCAGGACCACTGAGCTAAATCCCTGACCCTTCCACTTGTACTTTTAAAAAAATTAGCATGAGTGTAATTGGTGGACTATTTCCCCCTTTGTACAACGGGAAAAGCAGAGCAGCCTTCCTCATGGTGTGTTTAGGAGGATGAATTGAGAAAGATCCCATGAAGACACCCGTATTAGTCAAGGCTCACTACAGTAGCAGGATAGCATACAGTACTAAGCATGTGATTCACAAGGTAAGTTTAATGGCCACCTGCAGAGTCAGGTGTGGAAGAGGCCTAGAGGGCTGTCTGTGTTCTGGAGGTACGAAGGATCCATTCAAGGATGGAGGACCTGGAGCTCACTGCAGAGTCCTGTTGGCCTGGAGACAGAAATGCCAAGGTGGTGGTGAAGACTGGAGCTCACTGAAGAAACAGAAGGGAGACCTCCTTCTTCTTTCCGCTTTCCATTCCATTCAGGCCACAAGCCTGTTGGCTGGTGCCACTCGCACCCAGGGGGTCTTCTGTCTTCAGTAAATCCCTTCAGCCACACCAGGAGCTATGCTACTCCTGCCAGCTGGGCTTTGCTTACTCAGGTTAACATAGAAGTTAACAATTACAATACTGCACTATGATGTGGATGATTGATGGTGCTATTGTTAAGAGGATTATTATATCAAACACTGCATCTTTTAAAAGATTTAAGAAGACCGTAAAGCCAGAATGCGAACTACCCTGTGAAAATAGGATTTTGGATGACAGCATCATGCTTTATCTTATATACACTGTAAGTAAATCGGCTTCTTTGCCCCCATCTTTTTCACATTAAAGGAGAACAAACTGCTATGCTCTTTTCCATTCCCAAATGATTTCATAAGTCAGAATAAATCATTCAAAATTTAAAGAAGACTCATTTTTATTTGCTGAAGTGTCTTCTCTTGCTTCCTCACTGGTTTCTAGTTAACTCAAGTAATAAGTGTTTTCTATATTTAAAAATTTAAAACATTAATGGTGGTACATAATTGGTTCTTATGATATGTTAATATCCAACTTGTTTTAGACAGTACCACTGTAGCTGATTTGCTTGCTATTACCAGGGTTGCATAATTGTTGCTACTAATGGGTTTTCTCTACAAGCCAACAATCAGATTATCTATATGACATTAGCCATACTGAAATAGTTTCTCAGAGAACTCAGAGTTAAGCCAATCACCCTGTATCCCTACCATTAAACAAGGGGGTTGGATCTTGGGATAGAGGCAGAGGACTGTTTTTAGCTATGTCCAAAGTACATCACAGAAAAGTGACCAACAGAGATCTCTATACTAGCAACAAAGTCTTTACATAGTAAGTGTCCATAAACCTAAGCACAAAGCAAAACAGAAGAATACCCCCCAAAAAACACCTGCAACAGAAACATGAGAAGACTAGGCAAGAAAGTGCTTCCCGCAATTCCTAACTGCCCTGGAGCCAGTCCAAGAGGGGTTGAGGGGGAGGATAACAGAAGCCTCACATGGAAGTACTACAAAGAAGAGCAGGGGAGGTTAGAAAACAGACCAAGGAGGTAGTGAGGGAGGTTACAGAGTGTACAAGTAGACAGATAGCGGAGATGTTAACAAAAAATTTTGTCAGCAATTCTTCATACAGAGGACTGACAACTAGAATATATAAAGAACTAAAAAATCATTAGACCTCACCCAAATAAAAGAACCAATCAGAAAGCAGGCAAATGAAATGAATAGAAACTTTTCAGAAGTGCAAGCCGCCACTGAATACATGAAAAAAAGTTCAAATCACTGGCTATTAGAGAAATGCAAATGAAAACAACACTGAGACTTCATCTCACTTCAGATAGAATGGATGTCATCAAGAAATCAAATAAGAACAAAATGCTGGTGAGGCTGCAGAGGAAAAGGAACCCATCTGCATTGTTGGTAGGCATGCAAACTAGTATAAGCACTGTGGAGACCAGTATGGAGATTCTTTAAAGAACTAAAACTAAAAACTCTAATTGAACCACATGGCCTTCAAGTCATCGTCCTGAAAGAAAATGATACTAGCATAGTTGTGTTTTATAACAGCTAATTATTGGAAACAACCTGAATGCCCCGCAATAGATGAATGGATAAAGAGAATGTGACATTTGTGCACCGTGGAGTAATACTTTGTCCTAAGGAAGGATAAACAGGAGGAATTAATAGATAAATGGACACGCCTTGAGTCTATAATGTTAAGTGAAGTAAATCAGATACACAAATTTATGTATCACATACAATTAAAGAGCAAAATAAAAGACAGATCATAGGAAGTAGAGAGATCTTTTTAAAAGATAAGCAGAACAAGAGTCAGAGGGAGGTAGAAGGAAGGGAAAAGGGATTTGACACTTTCACAAGGGGGCCTTAACTCCTATGTCTCACTGCTGGGTGATGGGAACCACTGGTGATACGTGCGTGACGGTCCCATTGTGCAGCTTTTTATTAATTGGGTTAGTTAAGATGCTGATAAAAGTATTAGATCCTTTTACAAATGGACAGTCATACATGTACCAGCAGTGGTTTGAGCCAACAGGAGCGTGTTAAAAAAGAATTGAAAAAAATGGAAAGAGAGTTTTTTTCAAATGGGAAGTAGAATAAGACATGGAGCAGCGATGTCTGGGAGGGGAAAGAGACACAAAAAAAGAACTAAGATATGCTATGTACATGTACAAACTCTCCACAATAAATGTAATAATTATGTATTTCAAACAATTAAATTTTTTACAAAAAGAGCTGAGTCATAGGGTTTGGTGTACAGTAGAAGACTGGATTATAAACATGCTATCTAATTTAATTCTAAGTTGTTAAACAGATGAATTTGGTTATTGAGGCTCAGAGGATTTGAAGTTTGAAGTCTCAAGGGTGGGTTTGAGCCTAGCTCTGATGTCAAAGCCTCACCTGACAAGCCTGCTGCAGTTGGCATTGTGACATCACAAAAGTGGCTCACATTTCAGGCCTGTCCCTCCCATTTGGGACAGTGCTTTCAAAATCTTTGGCTGAGAAGACTTATCTACAGATTTACTGAATATGCCTACAGATTTACTGGATTTGTCTACAGATTTACTGAATTTGTACTAGTTCACGTTCCTACAGCTTCGGCTGGTAAGGCTGCCCGCCAGCTCTTTATGATAAGTTGACAAAGCCAGAGGCTGGGACTCCCCTTTGCCATCTTCCTCAGTCTCTTTCTCCTTGCTTCTAGGAAGGCAGACATGTGTTGTGCAGCCTCCGAAAATAACTGGAAACAGTGGATCATCTCTTTGATAATCGCCCTATACGTTGTATCCATCATGGTGGCAGCTATCCTGTTTATATGGCAGTCAGAGGAGGACCAGGTAAGTGGGTCCCACACCAGTGGGCTCTGCCCTTTTCTCTAACCATGAGGCAGAGACAGCCCTGGCACATTCCTACTCCAGACAGACACCCAGACTCGGAATCTGAAAATGCCTTCCTGTACACGAGCCCCATCTTTGGATTCATGTCTGGTTTCGTTTGCGCTTCTTCAGATGATGCTATAGGTGAAAAGGTGGGACTGGGTGGACAACACAGTTCCAGGATTTTACTGTAGCTGCTTAGAAAGAAGCACTTTGCTTTGCAAATATTCACCAATCTCCTGAAAGTTAGGTAGTTCTATTGCTGAAGTCTGATCTGCTCTTCAGATCTTCAACTGAAGTGGATCAGATAAACTACCCGGAGACCGCCATATTGAACTTTGTTAGCCTTTCACTAGCTTCCCAAATGAAAGGATGCTAGTTGATTTCACTTTGTTTTTACTTTTGAAATTAGCTCTTAACCAAAGGAGAGGCTTTGCCAAAAGCCCTTTGTATATTTTTTGATGTCATATTCATATTGCAACATCAGTAAAGTGATGCAAGCTGGAAAGCCCAGGGTAAGTATTTACCTAAGATTTATATATATATAT